GGGATTTAAATCCCACACATCTTAAGGTTGCCAAGGTTGAGAAACACTGCTCTATAAGATTAAGGAGTAATACTGGAATAGAATATTGGCCCGTATTTAACAGCTTCTGTGAATTACCATCCAGGTTCTGTATTTTTCTTGGGTTCATGGCTGCTAATATGACCAAATAGGACCTGAGGATAATGACATAAAGTAGGACAGTTCAAGGTGCTGATTGTTACCAGTAAAGCCCCACATGACTTGGCACCGAGGTACCTGTGGGGACACCACTTCTAACTAGAATCAACCCCCATGGTCCAGGAGGAACTGTTGATCGTTGGCATTTCCACAACGGTGGGCGGCTGATAGGCACAGCTTCTCAGCATCAATATCTACATGGCATTTTCAGATATGGTGCATTGAAAGCCCCTTGAAAGGCTATATTCAAAGTGCAGGAATCTGAGGCTCGACGCCCCTTTTTTTGCTCACACACCAAAGCATGGTGTTGTGCAGTGCTCCCATGAGTTGGTTTTTGGAGTCCGATTTCAAAAGGGGAGGGGGAGAAATTTATCAGGACTTTGTGAAAGGTGAAGACATGTTCCTCTCGTCTTTCAACGCTTCCTGCACGAAGATTAAAATCTACCATTTTGTTTTGGTGAATCTGGAGCCAACTGGGGCAACCCGGTTTGTTCTCTTTTCCCTTTCTTTGTCACTTATCTTCTCTTTTTTTTTTCCCCAGTAGACAGCTTAGACCCCAATTTCCAGACTGAACAACAAAGTAAACGTTTCCCACTACATGCTGCGGCACAGAAGGGCTACCTGGAAATCTGCCATGTTTTGCTGCAGGTGTGTGTGCGTGCGTGTGTGTAAGCCTGGGCCTCTGGGCTCCGCTGGTTTCCTCTCCTCTCCTTCTTATATGTGAGGCTTGACTTGTAGAGCTATCAGCACCAGCCCCTGAGCAAAATCGTAAATTAACATCCCTTCACCAACTTTTGTAAGTTGCAGTAGGTAAACTCCCTCTCAGGAGCTTAAAGATTGCAGGCAAATTTGATAGTAAGAAGAAATACTAATATCTGCTTGGATCATTTCACTCTTTTTCAGTTATAGTATTCTAATCTATAACATACACAGCACGGATTCGCTACTTTTTGGAAGTTCTGCAGCCTGTTTTGAGAAAGTGGGGTTCAGATTCCTGATTCGCAGTAACTTGCATGCAGATTTGAATGTACATATCCTTGCTCAGCGGCAACAGCAGATTGTTGGCTTTGCTCCGGGGTCACAATTTTACACTCAAAAGAGCCTTCTGAAAGAGTGAGGGATGGAAAGGTTAAAGGATGAAAATACACAGTTCTGGGTTTGCTGAGAGAGAGAGAGGAGCTGTTGAATATTCATATTTGAAATATGACTGTATTAAATTGCCCTGAATCCATTGGTTGAAATTGGCATACAGGTAGTCCTGGTTTAGCGACCACAATTGGTTCCGGTGAAATGGTCGCTAAGTGACAGTCACTAAGCAAACCAAGGGATAGAGCAAGAGAGAGATGCTGCAAAGATCACTGGTTGCGATGTGGTCTCAGTCAGATAAAGTTCTCTGGTACAGTGTCCTGAGCCTGACCTGTTTTTTCCCCCCCTTTTTTTTCCCCCTAAACAAGCAATCTCTTCCTGAGCTGCTTCTCTATGCAGCCCATGCTTTCCTAAAAAGTGCTAACTGCAGATTAACCAACTCAGCTCTGCACCTTAATTAGTTGATTAGAACCCTCCTGGCAGACTCCCAGCTGCTGCCTGAAACTGACCAGACTTTAATCAGTTTCACACTGAAGGCGTTTGTTGCCCTAAATTCAGGCATTGGTGGCAAAGTTACTTTTGCATCACTGGGGTAATTGCAAACGGTTGCTATCCAAGGCAGTCACTAAATGAGGACCACCTGTATACCAGTTAAATAAGTAAACAGGCAAGTCAATTAGTAATAAATCATAAATATTCTCTCTGGCAGGCTGGAGCCAACATAAATACAGTGGACAAGTTGCGTCGAACCCCTTTAATGGAAGCTGTTGCAAACAACCATGTGGAGCTAGCCCGTTACTTGGTCAAGAGGGGTGGTTGTGTGTACACAAAGGTCAGGAGATGAAGGAAGAGCTCTTCTGGTGGAAGGAGAGCTGTGTGGACGGGAATGGGGTGGGGACATTTTCTTAAAAAGGGGTCAGTGCAGGATTCGAGTTGCAGCTTTTCTTTTTCTGCAACAGTCCTGGGCCTTCAATAAATATACCACAGGCAGAAATTGCACATGTTCAGTTGTTTCGGTCCATAATGGCTCAATTTCTATGTGTGTTGCTGCTTTTAAAAGAGTAAGACTCTTCAAAATGTCATGTAGGAAGTACTTGCCATAGCATTTCTTTGCAACATGTGCCGTGTTTGAGAGAAATCGTAGATTGGTGGAGTCTTGAGCTCACTCTTTGTTGAAATAATTTCTACTTGAAAACTTGACATTCAGCATCAACAATGCTTTTTTTAAAAAAAACCGTATTTTTTGTAACAAAACCATCTTTAATCTTAAAAAAAAAGAAACTTAAAAAAAATGAAAAATAGAAATTAAGAAAGGAAAAGGAAAAAACTATCTTATATTTTATATTTATCAATAGTCACCGGATTACCAATGAATTTGCTACTATAAATATAAACAATATAGTATATTATTGAAAGATATCCCAGAATCTCTGCTGTAACAACACATACTGCTGCGTCTGTATGTGGCTGTATTGACTGGTAGAAAATACTGCCTTTTCCAGAACAAATAGACCACACATTTCCAACAACCCACATCAATAATGCTAGTCCACCTGGTCTAACAGGATGACTCAGTGACCGGGTTCAACCTTTGTATTGAGCATGGTTTGTTTTAACCATGGTTTGTTGAGCCTGTCAGAGTGGCCTGGATTGCACATCCCCCTGAGCCATTGTGCGCAAACCGCACGGGCTGGGTTTACAAAAGACCCTGAGCCGGAGCCAGAGAAATCACAGGAAGCTTAGCGTAATGCATGAATCCAGAGTTTGAGGCTGCTTCTTGTGGGATGAGGGTTCAAGAGGGTTCAAGATGTTTTATGAGAATGATAAAAGTAGGGAGGGGACGTTCTGTATTAAGGGTACTGTTGGAAGAGAAGTGGCTGCCATGCAAGTTAAATCAACGTTGTTTCATTCTTCCCGATGTTACTGCCAAAGGAGGATGACGGATCTACCTGTCTCCATCACGCTGCCAAGAATGGAAATGTGGAGATGGTCACCTTGCTCCTTTCCACGGGGCAGGTGGATGTCAATGCCCAGGTGAGTGGGGGGGCTGGTTCCTCTTGGTGGGTGACAGTGGCTGCCAGGTTCACCCAGCAACAGCTCTCCTGGACCTTCACACAAGCCGGTTCTTTCTGTTTCTGGTTTAGGATAACGGAGGTTGGACCCCCATTATCTGGGCTGCCGAGCATAAGCACATTGAGGTGATCCGCATGCTGCTTACCCGGGGAGCTGATGTCACCCTGACTGACAATGTACGTGAGTTTGGGTTTCCTTGCAGGGTGAGCCCCAGGCTTGTGAAGCTGTTCCAAAGCAAAGGGAGTGGGATTTGCTTTTGGGAACCAAAACTGTGGCTTGACGAAAGAAATCTCTGGTTCAATCTACATGCAGAATGGACAACTTCAGGTTGTAGGTTGCCAGGGCCAGCCCATTGCAGTTGGCCCCTTGCTTAAAAGGAAACCCCTGCAAATAGAAAAGTAGCACTAGGATTGTTCTAATCTGGTCCTTTGACTGTATATTCTGTAAGAAACCATTTAAAAACTGCAAGTTCTGGAGTGGCGCGTTCCATTCACCTCCTTTAATATCCAGTCCTCCCATCCTGCTCATAAACAGATTAATCAGCTCCACTTACATAAAATATGCAAACTGCCAAGAGGTGCACAGAAAAAGATCGGGCTACTATTTTTTCAGGAGACGACTCCCAAAATAGCAAGTCCCGCTGTCTCGAGCAAGTTGTATCTTCCCATAAATGTGTTTTTCCAAAAGAGCAAGAATTACAAGGCTGTTGACCTGCGCTTTATCTGGATTCAGTCATTACCCTCATAAATGCAACTAGGCTGAAATCAAGGTGTCCCAGATATTTCTCTCCTAGCCCACCTGAGGGAGCCATCGTTGCACTCCTTGCAGGAAATGAACTTAATACGAACAGACAGACAAATGTGGAAACTGCCTATATTTGCTTTGGAAGATACAGCAGCTGGAGAGCGGGGAATCCTTTTCGTTCCTCCCAAACATACATACATACATACATACATACATTTATTTATTTATTTATTTATTTATTTAGCAAATTTATGTTTATGCTAAACATGACTCTGGGCGGTGCACCGCCAGCAACAATTAAAACGATATCACAACCCTGTTCTCAGCGGCCATATATATTTATATTGTGCTATATGGTACTTGCTTTAATTGTCTTTATGATGGTTTGCCCGGAGTCACATTCAGTGAGATGGGTGGCTATAGAAATAAATAAATTAAATTAAATTAAATTAAATTAAATTAAATTAAATTAAATTAAATTAAATTAAATTAAATTAAATTAAATTAATAAATAAACAAATAAGACACTTAAAATAAACGAACATAAATAAAAGCAAGATTGCAAGAAAATAACCATTTAGGCCACTGTTTCTCAACCTTGGCCACTTGGAGATGTGTGGACTTCAACTCCCAGAATTCCCCAGCCA